GTAAGGCAGGACACATTGTTTTGGACACGTGAGGTCTATGAGAAGATCAGGACCTTCTCCAGGGGCCGCCCACAGACCAGGACATCCATGGACTACGCACCACCCCAGAAGGGCAAGAACAAGTCCAGGGGCAAGGGGAAGTCCAGGGGCAAGCCTGGGAGCAAAGGGAAAGGTAAGCCCCCCCAGCCGAACAATCAGGCCTCCAGGGGCAGTAACAAGCAGGCGGCCACCGATCCGAAAGGGAACCAGTTCTGTAACAACTGGATGCGCGGGCGCTGCCCGGGCAACTGCGGACGCACGCACAAGTGCAACCTCATCCTGGCGACGGGCCGCATCTGCCTGGGAGACCACCTCCCGCAGGACTGCCCGGGTTGACTAGGGGCTCGGACCCCGACCCCCCGGGAGGCCTCAGGTGCCGAGGGCCCTGATAGGGCCCGGGGGGGCGAGAGGGGGCGAAAACGCCCCAAGCAGGCACATGAGCCCCCTCCTGCAGGTGCCGAGGGCCCTGACACAGGGGGGGGACAGGCCAGGTGGCGGCCCTCCTCGGCGGAACAAGGATGGGGACGACAGAACCAGCGTGCACAACACCCCAGCTGGGGTCAGAACAACCACACAGCTGACACAACGGCAACGCCGCAGCCCCGTGCCACAGGTGCCGAGGGCCCTGAGATGGCAGGGGCGGGACGGTTCCCCGCAGGTGCCAAGGGCCCTGACACGGGGGGCCGCGCCCAGCAGGCCCGAGTGCCGGACAACTGGCAGCACACCGCAACGCCGAGGAACACGCCCAGGAGGCAGCCGGTCCCACTTCCGGCGCCCAACATCATCAAGCAGGACCCGGTGGTTTTTCATAAGAGTTCTGTTGGGCTGAATGAAGGGGGCCAACGCTTTTCAGCTACCCCCCTGACAAGTCCCACGGAGCTGTCACCGGGAGGGGACACCTTCCCGTGGATGGAGAACATCCCGGAGCGCCTGGCACAGCGGCTGAGATGGACACAGGGCACATCGCCCAAAGTTCCATCCAGTGGGCCCATCATTGTCCTGCTCTATGCAGGCAAGGAAGACCCAACTTCCTTAGACAGCTGTCTTCATGCCAACTACCCGCACCTCTCCAGCATGGTGGTGGCAGTAGACATCCTACGATCCGGACCAAAAGGGAACCACGACATGCTCCAACCCGAGCTGTATGGAGCGCTCTGCACGGCAGCAAAGCAGGGCCGAGTGGTCTTCATTGGGGGAGGACCCAACTGCAGGACATGGTCCATCCTGCGCCACATACCAAAACCGGGGGCCCCCACCCCGGTGCGAGGACGCACTCGAGAGACACTTTGGGGCCTCCCACACCTGGACCAGGCCGCCCAGACTCAGCTTGATGAGGACAGTACCCTCATTTTGAGGCAGATGTACATCACCAGCCTGGCAAGGGCCTCAAGATCGGCGGCCTCGCTGCCAGGGCCAACATCCTTCTTGGAGCACCCGGAGGACCCAGTGGTGAGCAGCTCGCTGCCCAAAGCCAAGGAATGCTCATCCTTCTGGATCACGGAGGAGGGGCAGCTTTGGATGGAGGAAAACTCCTTGACAGCAATCTCCTTCGACCAGTGCCGCCTGGGCCAGCTGGTCAAGAAGGCCACCACACTTGCCACGGATCTCCCAATCCAGGACTGGGATCAAATGCGGTGCACACATCAGTCACATGTGGGCACCAGCGAGTCCTCGACTCTCAGCAGATACCCCTGGGATATGATGGCAGGCCTGGCCAAAGCCATCGCTGTGTCACTCGCAGCGCCGGGGCACATCCGGATCCCCTCACAATTCCCGGGAAACCCTAAGGAACCACCTAAGGGAAGGGGGTCGGACCCCCCTGGGGGCCCTTCTCCCCGGGGAAACGGGGACCCAATCAGGGAGGCGGTCCCTCCTCGTCACACCAGGGCCCAGAGCCCGGAGGCAAGAATGCCCCGAAGCCCCGCCAGCACGGGCACATCCACCATGAGGCTGACACCGTAAGCCCTCGTGGAACTATGAGTCCAGACTTCCCATCTCCCATGCCCCCGATGGCCGGAGATGCGGAACAACTGGAAAAGGAAGAACATGGGGACCAGGTCCTGGACCGCCCCGAATTCCTGCCCGCTTTCCGGGTCCCACGCCTCACTGACCGAGTTGCGATTGTCCAATTGGGTTTCCGTTCACGCCCCCTGAGAGATGGGGGGGGGAAACCTTCCCCGGGGAGGCTCAACCCCCCTTTTCGGAGAGTTTCCCCTTTGGCTACTTTGGGCGCCCTGATCATGACCCTTACCAGGCCCTGGATTGATAAGGTCCGGATGTCCCTGGCATCAGGTGCCACCACACACCCCTTCCAGGAAACCGACCTCGAGGAGCTGCGGGCTATCCTAGGACCGAGGCACCTCCATGAACGATGCCCAGGACAACCCTTCCTCCTGGACTTAGTGTCGCACTTGGCATCCCTTTCAGGTGACCCTGATTGGGAGTTCCCCCTAACACTGAAAGAGGGGGTCCCCTTGGGAGTCTCGGACCCTACCTTGACCTCCCCGGGAGTTTGGCCCACTAAGGAGGAGCTTAAGGGAGAAGCCTGGCTGGGGGAAGATCCCCCCCCGCCAGTGGCTCATGATAACTACCCAACGGCTGAACTCTTTGCCAAGGAAATCGAATCAACCTTTTACGAGGAACGAGCCTTGGACATGGTGGACGGGCCCTTCACTCGCTCCGAGGCGGCAGAGAGGTGCCGCTGCAAACCGGAGGAACTTTGCCCGGGCCCCCTTGCAGGGATTGATGAGTCGGACAAGATCAGGACGATCTATGATGGCTCAAAAGGGGGAGCAAACGCACACATCCAGGCTCACACGGAGGAGAAGACCACCGCACCGATGGTTGGAGACTGCCTCCATGCCATCCACTGGCTCAGGACAGCGGCGGACCATCCTCATCTACTCCGAGCCCCATCCTCGGGCACTGATGAGGAACCTCGGGATGTTCACCAGCCGGTGCAGGGGCAGTCCCCAGGTGCCGAGGGCCCTGAGAGGGACCCCCACAGCACCAGCCTGCCCCCAGGTGCCGAGGGCCCTGATAGGGGCAGGCGGATGATGGAGACCTCCGGCGGCCTGGACGTCTCTCCGCGGTCAACACCCTCAGGGAAGGGGCCACTCCCAGGTGCCGAGGGCCCTGATAGGAGGGCCCCATTCCCCCCAACCCCCCCAGGCACGGAACGCCCTGGGGGGAGCAGGGGGGAACCCCTGACGTGGCAGCCGCCGACACAGGGGGAAACCTTCATCATCCTCAAGGCGGATGTCACCAAGGCCCACAGGCGCATAAAAGTGCTCCAGAAAGACTGGAAATACCAGGTGGCCTGCATCCAGAACCGGTGGTGGGTCAATAGAGTGGGCACGTACGGCATGGCCTCGGCACAACTGTACTGGGGAAGAAAGGCATCCTTGGTGCTCAGACTCTTGTACTACATCTTCCCTCAGGTGGACTGGCACTTAGTTTTTGTGGACGACTACTGCTGGGTCCTCAGATGCAGCAGGGCGGACTGGGACGCCACAGCCATCCTGGCCACTCTTCTGGCGCTGGGAGTCCCGCTTTCTTGGAAGAAGACGGCGCTCTCCCCGGTCAATACCTGGTTGGGATTCGTGGTGGACCCAATCACGCCCTGTGTGCTGCTGGCTCCAGTCAAGCACGTCATAATCCTGGCCACTCTCAAACGGCTGGCCCAGGGGGACATCTTTACCAGCAAGGAGGTGGAACAAGCCTTGGGCCGGATTCAATGGGCTACTTCGGCGTGTCCATTGACGAAACCTTTCCTCCAGCCCTTTTGGAGCTGGAAGAAGGCCTGCACCACTTCGGGCAGGCCACCGAAGCTGGTTCGTGCTCTGGCCATCCTTCTGGGGAAGCTCTTCAACCAGAGGTTCCCACTGGCATCTCCATTTGCTCCCACACTTCCATGGACGGGGGCATCTGATGCGGGAGCTGGCAAACAGGCGGACCATGCATGGGTTGGTGGTTGGTGCTCGGACGTGCCCAACCCCGACAAGTCCCGAGTGAAGTGGTTCCAACACAGAATCACACCGGAGGGCGAGCCGTGGGCCTTCACTACTGGGGACCCGCAGCGGGCGATAGCGGCCTTGGAGCTCTTCGGCCTCCTCCTTTTGGTGAGGGCTGTTCTGCTTTGTGCAGCCGGCTCGGCTTCTCACACTAGGATTCTGGTTGCTAGTGATAACCAGGGAAACGTTTTCTCCCTGCTTAACGATTCCACTCGCAGGATGCCCAATGCGGCCATCCTCATGGAAATTGTGTTAACACTGCATGACCACCAGGTCATGTTAGGACCGTCGCATGTGAAGCGCGACTTTAACACATGGGCGGATGAACTTACTCATCCGGACCCGCAATTTCCGACTGAGAACCGGGTCTTCCCCTCAGTCGAAAGCGAATTGATCAAGCTGATCTTCGCTACTTTCCTTCCTCACCCATGATGCCGGGAGGGCATCCGGTGAGGTGGGAGGATTCCTCCCTCGCTGTGGGAGTGGCATCAATCCTACTCCCATCAGCTGCTGAGGGGAGCTGCCCAGTGGAACTGGGCAATCCTCCCATTTTGGCACTAACCCTTATGCGGCAATAAAGGAGGCACCGTTTTGCGAATAAGGCCTCAGTAGCACCTGAGTGGTGCTTCAAAGAGTCACAAAAAACTTTCTTTTTACATGGAATCTATCACTACTGGACATATACATGTCAGTTTTGTGTTTTTTTTTCTTTTCTGTTTTTCTTTTCCAGTGGACTTAAGCTTAAATGGAAGTTAAGGAGCGGTGGGCGGTGGCCACGAGGGAGAGCCAGTCTCGGGGGGCATGTCTTGACTGCTGGGTTGGATCTTTAGACTTCAACTTGTTGGGAAATAAAGTGGTGTTTTCCGAACTAAACCCCCAGAAAGTTAAGAAAAAACACTTTTTGCAGGGGGGTCGTTGCAGCAACCAAGATGTGACACAAGATCTCAGGAGAAGGAGCCGGAGAAGGAGAAGGAGAAGGAGAAGGAAGCGCTCAAACAGAGCCCGGAAAAGGTGGTGTCGCAAAAGGAGAAGGAAGACGACTCGGATTCGGAGTCTTGGCGGCGTGTTGAGCGAGCCCTGATTGCTGTGAAATTTGTTTGTTTGAACCTGCTGGAGCCCGCAAAAGGGCAGTTCCCCTTGGCTTGCTGTAAATGTTCCGAAGCAAAAAGCCGTGGCACTTTCCGTTCCAACGGGCGGGCCCATCTCACCACTTGTGATGCTTTTCTGCGGATGTACTTTGACCACGAGTTGGCTCTTTACGTGCCCTTGCCCAGCGCGGAAGAGCCTCTGGCTCTTTTTGGGCGGCACCGACCTTCCGAGCCCAGGACTCCGTGTCCATTTCCCCTTTCGACATGAACATGATGGCCACGCCCCTTGGGCCCATGACGCCCGGCTCACCGATTCCTGCGGCCAAGCCTTCGCCGAAGAAGGTCAGAGCCGAGAGGCAGGAGGTCAGAGCCGAGAGGCAGGCGGAGAGAAAGGCGCAGAGTGGCTCAGTCGGTCACTGGCACTTGTTTCGTTTTGAGTTGTCAAAATGGCCCAATTTTGGGAGCCTGGTGCCGCCTTGTGCCGCCCCAAAACAACAAAGGCATACCAAAAAGGGGCCCTAGTTTTGACAGCCACGCTGTTTTTTTTTACTCACTCGCCCAAAGCAAATCGGCCTTTTCGCCTTCTGGTTTTCTCGTGTTGGGTTCCCATTGTTAGTTGACAGTCCCCCAAGGTTAGTCTTTTGTTTGCAGGTCCTTTGGGCAAGTGAGTTTATGTGTTGTTTGTCTAAAGTACAGACACGCATGGACAAATGTTGCCTTGCTGATTTGTGTCCTTTTCGTCTTTTGATTGATGTGGTGCTAAGGAGAGGCAACCAAGGCTGCAGAGACGGCAAAGAAGGTTGCGGAAAGAGCAGAGAAGGCGGCGGAGAAGGCAACAGAGAAGGCCGAGAAAGCGCACATGGCGGGGAAGGAGGACCAATTGTTCGACATGGTTCGCCCTTGTTTCCGAGTGCTGGGAAGGCCACGTTGACCTTTGATGTCCTGTTGAATCCTAACCACAAGGCGTGCAATTAATTGGCTTGTTCGTAGGGGTGCCACCCAGTGCAGCAGTTTCAGTATGCAAATGTCAGCACAAATTGAAGCTGTTTCTGTCAAGGCCTTTGAGCTCAGGACACGCAGGAGGAGGGAGAGGGTGACAAGGCGGAGAAAAGCGCAGATGAGGTGCCGGAAAAGTCGCCGAAAAAGGCGGCTCCCGTGGCCGCCGTGGCCAAGGGGGACAAGGCCCTTTGGTTTGACAGCTTGTTTGACACTTGGTGCGTCTTTTTTTGGGTACTCACAAAATGGCATCGGTTTTCGTCTTGGTTTCCTTTAAAACTAGCAAAAAAGGTGTCCCCTAAAAAAAGACACGCCCACTTGTGCGAGCGTGACAGTTCTGCAAGCACGCATACTTTTAGTTGCACACACCTGTGACACATGCTTGTCGACACAACTCTTCGTCCACTCAAAAAAAAGGTTCAACTGTTTCCATATACCCCTCAGAGGGGGGAACTGGGGAGGGGCGGGGGGGCGTAACTCTTATGAACAGACTTAACAAGCCCTTATTAAGGGCTTATCCTTCTCCTGGGCTTATCCAGGCATAATCCTTGCGGCAAGGCCAAGCCCAAAGAGGCAAAGCGGCAGCCGCGATTTGCGCAACCCGTGAAGGCGGCGTGGCGTGGCAGTTGTCCGCAGGGTCTAAGTATGGTACCTACGATTTGTGCACAACTTTTGTTGTTCAGTGTGGCACCCTGTTCCACTTTTGGTTTACCCTGGACCCTCAACAACCCTTAAAAAACGGGCATTCACCCCATCATTACCCAGTTTGGGGGGGTATTTTGAGGGTCCCGGAAGTTGAGCTCCCACTGAAGATGAAGCCCCCGACGAGACGAAATCGCTTCCTAGATAGAACCATCCAGTTTGGTTCAGGCTGGTCACGGGAACCAGGTGGCGAAAACCGGGAATGGTAGTGTCAGGTGCCGGCAATGGACTGCCCAAATGTTGTCTTTCTTGGATCTCTATGCACTTATGGCGAGCTCACGGTGGTTTAGCTGAGCTCCCTTTCCCATGAAGGCCCCTTTGCTTTGGGATTCAGTAGCTTTGCTCGGCGAATTGCAGTCGGAGATCGCTTCCTGGTGCAGCCGCGTGCGAGTTTTTGAATGCCGTCTCACGGCTTTCGACGAAACGGATCCGCAAGGAAATGGTTGGGGGGGCGTTGTTTTCGTGGTCCACGTCCTCATCTTTTCAGGGCCCGAAAAGTCCTCACCTTCCTTTGGCCGGATTGTCAACTTCGCAGGCCAGCAAAGCTATTCCACCTCCAAGCCACTCCCCAAAAAAAGTTTTCGTCTGGATCTCCTTGGGGTTTCGTCCTTTGTAGAAAGCCTTGCAAGCTTGAGGCCTCACCCCAAAAAAACGTGAGCCACTTGCTCAAAACCCGGGTAGATGAAGGCTAGTAAGGGACAATCCCAACCAGAAATAGCTGCGGCCGCCATCTTAATTCTTTACATGGTTCTGGGTTCACAATTTTTGTACCAGGTTTTGATTGCGACTCACGTGGGCTTCGGTTTCTTCCATGGCTGGTGGCCGGCTTGAGGTGCCTGTGAAGAAGGACCTTCCCGGCAAGGCCGAGAGCAAGCCGACCATGGCGGAGACGTTCAAGAAGCGGCAGCCTGGCTCGGTGGGTCCCAAAAACTTCTGCGGGCAGTTGGCTGCGGTGGTCAAAACCGTTTTTCCTTGATCCCATTTTGGTGGCTGAATTCACCACCCATATTTTTGTGGGGAGTGGGATGTTCACGGTACGGGATTTTGACCTGGACAGGTGAAGCTTAGTGGACGACACTCTCAGCAGCTCCTTTAGTGACAAGCACATGCGGGGGAGTAGGAAGTTGAATTGCACAGAGTTTGGATGGATGACCAAACACGAAGCAATGAAGCAAGCAATAGAATATATGTCTCATAACAGGAATGTAATGTCAAGTTTGCACACACCTGAATTGAGGGACCTTCAAGTAGGGGGCCTTCATCGTGGGCTCGATCGAGCTTGCTTTACTCCCTGGTGAGCTTGCCATAGACCGTAGACCCCTAGTGATCCTTTTTCCTCTTCAAGTGTGGCACTATATAAGATTGTCAATTTGGGAGCACGTGTCGAGAGCATGAGCAACCAGCGCAAAAACCATGTTGCTGTCACTTTTGTTCTGCCAATGGCTCACGACAAGAGCAGCGGAGGGCCTCTAAACGGTTTTCGCATACACGGTGTGTGTGTGTGTGTCTTTGCATGTGTTTATATACGTGAAGCAAGATACTGTAAATTGTGTATAATAGATGTGTCCACAGAATGTTCCTTTGTCTCCACGCTTTGTGCCCGCGATCATAGGCAAGGCTTCGTATTTGTCTCTTCCCGTGGCCGGAAGTTGGAGGAGGAGGACAGGGTCGGCAAAGTTTCTGTTTGGACCAAATTTGTCTTGCTTCAGGTGAGGGAATGGTCGGTTGCAAGAAACGGTTGGAATACGCACAGCAACGAAGGTTCTATCTGTCCTGCTCTCTAATGCTTTGTCTTGTTTCAGGTCAGGGAATCATGTTTGTACCTGGAGTCTCCATGACCCTTTAAAAATAGGTCCACGACACCATTATTCGGGGTAATGACCCCATTCCTAAAGGGTCATGGAGACTCTAGGTACACCTTTTCTGTATGCTATCTTCGTGAATCGCCAGCCGGCAATGGACGAAGGTAGGGCAGTCCCAAGCGCACAGAGTTGCGAAAAGGAGCCTTGTTCTTTGCGCATGTTTTTCTGTGGCTCAGAAAACCGGTACCAAAATGGAACCCTGGCAAGTGGAAACATGGACCAAAACCTGCGTAACCCCTCCTGTATAATTTTGAGCCACACCCATTTTAGTATGCTGGAATACCAGGCATGACTTAGCAGACCTTGTGTTTGTCCCTTGAAAAGGGAACCGAAACGGAGGGCTCGCGTTCAGGTTTGGTTGCACAGGATATGGATGTCCATTTCACCCAGCAAAACGCAAATGCACGAACTGGAGTTTCCAGAGCACCAACTTGAGAACCATAGATTTATGAACAACTTCCTTTTGGCTTTCCTT